AGAGTCGGAGCCAAAGGCTCGCTGACCCGAGTCAATCCTACAGCTCGGGGCTCCCCGCTCCGTACCCTGCGTGCCTCTGGCGTGTAACGCATACAACCAGCGGGGTCCTTATCAAAACACTTGTCCTTTCCTGCATCAGTCTTGAATCACTGACTTATTTACTCACCTATCTCGGCTTGATTAACTATGGAGTCACAGGATTAAGAAAGAAACACGCTGCTCGCGGGCAGCCAGTCCACTGCCCCCAGTGGGGGAGGGCAGGAGCGCGGGGTACGTCATGTCTGGCAAGCGGTGACTAATTGCTCTGCTGGGTCTTGAGAGCTGTTTCGGAGGTGGCTCAAACCAGGCCGGCTTTGCCCTCGTTGAATTATATAACCCTGAAGAAGCCTCTCCTCTTGCCGGAGAGACACCCAGAATAGCACAGGCTCATGGATTAGTGAATTAGAAGCAAAACATTGCTGCTGCCTGCTGCTGCTCACAGCGTACGGCACTCGGCTATGGATCATGAGTCACGCCAGCTAATGCTCTCAAAAGAGCTGGGAGAGGTTTTTAAGGACTGCAGGAGTGAATAAATACTTCAAACCCATTTAGCTTCCTGCCAGCCTGGACCCCACTGTGTCTCCTGAGCCTCTGACAGATTTTATTTACAGGACTGGCAGGCTGGTCCGTAAGAAACGCTCAGGAGCAAGGACGTGCCCTGCAGCAAGACCTGGGCCGCAGAAAGGGCAGCACCTCTGGGAGGCAGATGTTGTGCCTTTAGTTGCCAATTGTTCAGGCACGTGGCGCTCTGCGTTGTGACCGAGTGACAACACCAGAGACGGGGAAGACCCGCCGCCCCAGCCGCCCCGCCAGGCACGCGGGGCTGTGCCCGAGTCTGGCCCGGCCCCGGCGGGAGACGGACAGAGTGCGGAGCAGGTTATCCCTTCGGAGGGCCGGCTGGGGAGGGATCCGTCAGAAAATGGGTGGGAAGAGCTGGACCTCGGGGCAGCTGCTCCCCAGGCTCGGGGGGCAGGCGGGTGAGAGGCCCAGGCTGCACGCGGTGGGGTCCCTCCTGCGACCACAGCAGTGACAGCCCAGTGGCCGCACGGCCCGTGGTGCCTTCCCAGCACCTGTACCTTGCTCTTCCTCGGCGTTTCCCGACCCAAACCCCAAGGTGCAGAGGATCAGAGGTGGGCTGGGACCCGAGTTCCCTTCTCCAACTGGCCAGCGCCTGGGCGCTGGCCGCGGAGCTCGTGTCACCGCCGATCCGGTCACAGCACGGCTCTGCCGCGGGGTCAGTGGGATCGCAGGCGAGCGGGCTGCCCACCTCTGCTTCCCTGCCTCGGAGCACGTATGTGCCATGGCACCGCAGGCACTGCCGTGAGAAGTGCAGCACGGTACAAGGTGTGGAGGGAGCGTTTGTTAAATATAAAAAGAAGAGTCATTCCAGGTCAAAAACACGAGCTAGATGGAGTGAAAATTGGATTCTCCCCTGGGGAGAAGAACTGCCTGGCTCCAGTCAGCGTCCACAAGACAAGGCTGGTTTTAATTTTAAGTAGGTACAGAAATAACGTGCAGTATGCATGAACCAGGACTGTCAGGGGGTTCCAGGAGCATGCACGCAACAGCTTCCCTCCTCTCTTGTACTCCTGCCCTGAGTTTTTGATCTTTCTCGTGCCTGACGCTGCCAGAATTAGCCTCCAAACCTCATTTCTCCTCCCTTGCCTTCTCTGGATTAAGCTGAGAGGTCTCACAGGCTCCTCACAAGAATTTCGAGCCTCAGCTGCAGGCTCTTCTCGGAGGAACAAGGGAGGAGAAGGAGGTTACTCACAAGGTGGCCCTTAGCCACCAGCGTGGTGCAGCCTTGAGAAAGGCGAAGGCTGCCCACAGGCATCAGGGCTTTCCAAGAGCAGTGCCCTCGCGCGCAGCCCCGGCGAAGGCTGGGCAGGGTCCAGCCGTGCCCCCCCGGGCAGGGAAGAGGGGTCGGGCTGGAGCGCAAGGACTGCGGGCGCGGGCAGGGAGCCCGTATCGCACAGCGAAGCCCAGGGCGCATCCGTGCCGTGCCAGGAGGTGCGATGCCCTTCGCTCCGGCGGCAGCAGCAGCGCAGCCCTGGCAGAGGTGACCCAGGCGCGGCAGACGGGCCTCACAGGGCTCGGCTGGCGAGCTTACCGAGGCTGGGAGGACTTACTGGCTGTGCAGAAACACTGGGGGAGGGAGCACTGCTGTTTAAGCTAAGGCAGGGCTAGCACAAGAAGGAATGGAAATAAGCTGGCCCCAAACACGTCCAGGCTGGAGATTACAGAGTTTCGGGAAACAGACTGTGGAACAGGATTCCCCCAAGGTGAAGGGGACAAGTCACAGATTTTGGCTGCCGACGGACACGCTTATAAAGGCTCTCGGTGAGGCAGCCGCCTGTTGCACTGAGAGACCCGGCTCGGTGAAGCGGGAGTTCAGCCCAGTGACCCCAGTCCTCCCCTCCACCTCCAGCCCAGCTTGGCAGGCAGCCCCCTGACCTGAGGGGACTTGAGGTGTTGGGACTGGGACTGGAGCTGCAGAGAGCCGAGGCAGGAGGTAGGGTGCTGGGTTTGGAGGGCTGAGGGTGCCTCCTGGGCGGCGGCGGGAGAAGCAGGGTGCCCTTGGGACAGGGCTGGGCCAGGCACACCCCGGCGGTTAGATAACAGCCTGC